GGAGGAGGAGGAGGAGGACGACGACATGCTGCGGAGGACGGGAAACTTTGTGGCGTCCTCAGAAAGTCTCCCCAGCGGCATCCTGAGGGTCGGTTTACGGACTTTCCTGGGATCTCTGGTTCCGAGCTCTGGATCCGGATTAAACCCGTTCTGTGTCCCTCAGATGAAGAAGTGTCTCCACGCCAACAGCGCCCGTCCCTCAGAGGACAAACTGACCACGGTGCAGTTCCACCCCTCGGCTCAGGTCGTCATGACGGCGGGAATGGACCGCTCCATCTCCCTCTTCCAGGTAGGGGCCTCCTCCATCCGCTGAGACCTTGGCGGTGGCGTGGCGTTAACCCGGTTCCTCTGCAGGTGGACGGTAAGACCAACCCCAAGATCCAGAGCATCCATCTGGAGCGGTTCCCCGTCCACAAGGCGCGCTTCAGCCTGGACGGCGAGACGGTGATCGCCACCAGCCTGAGGAACAAGATGTTCTACCTGTACGACATGATGGAGGGCCGGGTGGTGCCGGTCCACAGCGTCAGGGGTCAGTGTCCCCCAGCGTCCTCACGCGCCTTTCCGCTCGCTGCCCTTTCACAATAAAAGCCTCTCTGTTTTAGGGCTGAATGAAGCCAGAGTCAAGGAGTTTTCCGTGTGTCCTGAGGGGGGCGCCCTGCTGCTGACCGGCACCAACGGATATCTGCACCTGCTCACGCTGAAGGTCAGTCTGCTTCTCTGGTTCTGTTCAGAACCCACGGCGGTTCTGAGGGACGGGGTCAGATCTCTGGGCTGCAGACCCACCAGAACCGTTCAGCTTCAGTCCGCATCAGAGACGGATCCGGACGGTTCTGGTCCATTTTGAGGTCCGCTGGTTCTGCTTTGAGCCGGTCGCTCTCAGTAGAACCGCTGCCCGGTTCTGCTTTGACCCGGTCGCAGCCCGGTTCTGTCGGCCCATTTCTTCCTGTTTGCTTCACCTTTCCTCGGGTTCTGCTCTCTCTCCGCTCAGACCAATGAGGTCGTCCGCAGCATGAAGATCAACGGTGATGTCAGCGGCGCCGCCTTCTCTCACGACGGCAGCAAAGTCTTCGTAAACTCAGGTGAGCGTGTGACCCCTCCTCCTCCTGTGACATCACCATCGGTCCCGCTGACCGGCTGTGTCTGCAGAGGACGGCGAGGTGTACGTGTGGGACGCGCGCAGCAGCCGCTGCATCAACAGGTTCACGGACGACGGCTGCGTGAAGGGGACGTCCATCGCCGCGTCGCCCGACGGCCGCTACCTGGCCTGCGGGTAAGCCACGCCCACTTCGCCGAGCTCCTGGCTTGTTGGCTGGCCGTTGTGCCTCGGCGCTGACCTTTCCCTCTGTTTCAGCTCTGAGGCGGGCGTGGTCAACATCTACTCCCAGGAGGCGTGTCTGAGCTCGTCCAATCCAGCGCCGCTCAGGGCGGTGATGAACCTGCTGACCTCGGCCACCGCGCTGACCTTCAACCCCACTTCCGAGATCCTGGCCATCGCCTCGCGGGCCGAAGACGAGGCCGTGCGACTGGTGAGCTGCCGCCGTGGGTCGCCGTGACGATGGTGGTAAACCCGGGCGACGCTAACCTCCTTCTGTCTCCGCTCAGGTCCACCTGCCCAGCCTCAGCGTCTTCTCCAACTTCCCCGTCGCCAAGAGGAAGATCGTCTATCGAGCCAGCTGCCTGGACTTCTCTCCTCACAGCGGCTTCTTCTCATTGGCCAACAACAAAGGCCACGCCCCCCTGTTCAGGTCAGAAGAACAAACATCCTTATTTCTCATCATTCCAGTCGAGACAGAAGCAGAGGAGGAAACTGCTGCCCATATATGGTAGTGCTTCCTGTTCCCGTCAGCAGAGAGGCCCGGTCCAAACCAGTCCGTGTTTTTAGGACCCAGTAAATCTGATGTTAATGTTTTTATTCCACTGGTTTTTGTTCAGCTACTGGAACAGTTTCCCATTAATGTGGAAAAGCTGAGATCTCCCAGCTTTTCTGCAGCCATGAACGCATCGCCCTGCAGTGAAAATGCAGAACGCCTGAAGCGGGTCGCTCTCTGACTGACGCCATGTTCTGTTTGTGTTCAGGTTGCTGCATTACAAAGACTTCTGAGGGCCGGAACCGCGAGAAGTTCTGCAGAACATCTGGATGGAACCGGACCTGGAAACAGACTCTGGAACCGGACCTGGAAGAACCTGTTTGGTTCGGATCAGTCGGACCAACAGGAACCAGAACTCTGTCATCAGTTGCTCTGTTTGTATGATGACTTTATAAAAGAGTTTTTTATCAGAAGGTGATCCGGTTGTTTTCCGTCTCCAGAACCGATGCGTTTGTTTCATTTCATTCCGGTTAGTTTCAGATTCTGACCCGAACCAGAACCATCAGTGAATCCAGACCAGAATAGATCCGTTTCCAGTAAAGATCCAGGAGGTTCTGATCGTCTCAGAACCGGGTTTTTATCCTGAACGCTGTTCTGATCAATCAGGGTTTTCAGAACCAGCAGTTTCTGGTTTTAGGCCCGTTTGAAAGTTTCTGATAATCAGGATCTGATCGGACCTTCATCATCATCATCATCATTAGTGAAGAAGCTGCAGAGCTTCAAACTTTCCCAGATCTGTTCCTCATTAATGTTACAGATTATTAAATAATAATAAAAACATGAAAAGAGCGACTCACCTTCTCCATCATTAATAAGCCGCCATTTTCTTAAAAACCCGTCTTTGATGAATGAAGTCACCACAACATAACGGATCAATTGTTTTTATACTGAATAAATAAATTACATTTTAACTTTTTTTCCTGCTGTTTTTAATTCTGCCTTTGCTTAAATTGATGTAACAGAACAGGAAGCTGTTGGTTCCCTGATTAGAAGAATAAAACAAGCGAGTCTGAGTTTCCCATCTCCTCCTAATAGATTTATTTCTACCTGTTAACGTTTCCTTTATCAGATTTCTGTCTTTAACTCTTACTTTGGTGTTAAAATTGCAAAGATAAATTACCACACAACTCAGGAACATCATATCCCAGAACTCAATTCAGTTTATTTCTATAAATTCCAAAATAAACAACAAATTACCTGTAAAATTAATGTTTATCTAAATTATATTTCTCCATTTTTAGAAAACTCTCCAGCTCCCAGTCTTTATTTTATTTTTTTTTTATGTTTTGAAGCAGTTCCGCTGTAATAAATCTGTATATTTTTTAATCTTCTCATATCTATCTTCATCCTCTTTAACACTTTTAATTGATTATCCTCCAAATTCTTTCTATTTTTTTTTTTTTTAAAGATTGCTTTTTGCTGCAGAAATATTTGCTCTGCAGTCCAATAATATGAATCATATTTTACGATTTACCTTCTATAAACACATTTAGTTTTCATCAAATCAATTTCTAAACCCTTTTATCTATAAATTAAATATCAGAAAGTTTGCCTTAAAAAGGAGCGGCGGCGCCCTCTGGTGGACAGCGGCGGCATTACAAAGCAGTTCTAACCGGAAGTCAGTTCATCTCTGGGATTTTTTTATTTTTAGATGATTTGGTGATTCTCAGGATTTCTGGAGGATTCTTCATCTCTGAAGCTCTCATCATCATCAGACTCTTCCTCACCGATCTGGCACCAATATTTTCCTGATTCATTATTTATTTTTATATGAATACAGATAAATTCACATTGAGGTAGAAAACAGAAATAGTCCTGAAGTGGTAAAAGCAGCATATTTTGATTGTTAAAAAACGTTTAAATGTTTAGATGAATATAATAAACTCAAATTAAATGTAAAGTTCAGTGAAAAGACTTTTATAAAATACTTACAGTAAAGAAATAAATGTAACCAGACTTTTCCAGACCAGTTTTATTTTTAACATAAAACCAGTGAAACCAGTTCTTCCAGTAAGAATATTTACTGCTTACTGTATATTATCACCTCTAAAGGTTACAGGAGCTTTAATAAATAAGCTAAGAAAGCAGAATTAGAGTCTTTATTAAAACAAAACTGTTTTTCTGTGACGTTAATCTCATTTTATTTAAACTTTTAAAAATGAATCTTTGTCCAAAAGTTGCTAAAGTTAATATAAATGAGTACCTCTGAATAAAAATGATGGAATGTTGATTTTTATGTTTTTTTTTTTTTTTTGTTTTTTTTTAATCAGTAGAGAAATTAGACCTGCAGAAAAATAAACTTAATTCTTGTTTGGGCTCTAAGTTATTTATTTTTTCCTGGTTGCTTCCATGCAGGATGAGCGGGACAGGTAACCCCCCCCCCCCCTACAGGAATGTTGTCCATCCAGTCCATCTGTCCTCTCCTCCATCATCAGCAGCTGAAAGCTGACAAACCTGCGGCCCCAGAACAGGCAGTGGGGGTCAAAGGTCAGGAGGGTTTAATCAGACACTTTTCCAATCATCAAGTTTTTAGAATTTAGTAAAACTTCTAAAAACCTTCTTTATTAATCACTCATAAATAACCAGTAACTGATTATTTATGATTAAATCGTTTTTAATCATTTTATTTAACAGAATTTTCCATTCAATCCTGTTTTAATCCTGAAAATAAAAACGTTTTCTGGATCTAAACTTCCTGCTGATCGTTACTCGGTGCCTGAAACGTCATCAAACAGGTGAAGCAGGTGGGTCTCCACCCACAGACTCACCGGGCCACTTTTTGCAGCCGCTGGCCCCGCCCACATGTGACGCCACAGACCGGATTTTCAGGGTCTGGAGCAGAAACCGGACGAGTGACGGTGGAGAAGGTGAGAAATGGTTCCTGCTTTCGGACGGATGTAACTCCGCGTTTCTGGTGAGTTTGGTTCGGAACCGTGAAGCGGGTCAGAGTTCTGCTGGACCCAGACTCCAGGAGAGCTGCCTGTCCTGGTTCTGGTCCTGGCCCTGGTTCTGGTGGGTCTGACGGGTTTCTGGGAGAAACTGTTGACCCATCAGGAACCTGGAAGATCTCCCTGTCTGTGTTTTTGGGTGGTGGTGGATGTGGAGCTGCTGCTGGTGAAGAAGGTCCTGGTCTGGGACAGCAGCGAGCTTCTCCAGGGAAACTGTTGGACCAGGTTCTGCCCTGATTCTGTTCAGTCAACCTGAAGCTGCTCAGATCTTCTCTGCTGGATCAGTAGTCCTGCTGCTGTTCTGATGTTCTGGTTGGATGAACCCAGTGTTGTTGAAGTTCTTGTAGATCTGAGGAGCTTCATCAGAGCAGGTCAGAGAGAAGCTTCTATAACTGGTCTTAGAGGTTCTGACGATGTTCTTTGGACCTGAGAAACTTTTCCATCCAGGTTCAGTCCAGTCTGTAGGGAACGGGGCCACATAGCTGCAGGTTCTCAGGTTCTGGTTCAGGCGGTTTATCCTTCTGCTCCAACATGACCTCCTAACAGTTCTGTCCGGTTCTACAGAACTGTAAAACTGTTAATTAACAACACTCTTCACCATGGTTGACCTGGCCAAGATTGCCGCCGGGAAGCATGGCCCTTTCAGATCCAGGTGTGCTTCCTGTGCAGGGTTCCAGGTCTGAGAACCTCATGCTGTGAAGGTAGGAGGAGAACCGAGGAACGTTCAGGGAACCAGGATGTCCTACGCAGCCAGAACCAGTGACAGCACTGGTTTCCAGTCCGCTTCAAAACCAGTCACACATAGAAAG